AGCCCTAGCCCCAGCCCTAGCCCCACAGAGCTTTATTTTTAAAGGTTTGGCCCATGTGGTTATGGAGTTTTGGCAAGTCAGAAATCTGTAGGTGGGCCCCAGGCTGGAGACCCAAGGAAGAGTTGTAGTTCAAGTTCAAAAGCAGTATGCGGGCAGAACTCCCTCTTCTTGAACCAGAGCTTTTCTGGTTCAAAGGGGCAGGGATTCCAGAGATTCCCTTTTCTATAAAGGCCTTCAACGGGTTGGACGAGGCCCACCCACATAATGGAGGGGAACATACTTTACTCAAAGTCTAATGATCTTAATGTTAATCCCATCTAAAAATAACTTTGCAGAAACAGCTGGAGTGATGTTTGACTAAACATCTGGGTACTCTGGCTTGGCCAAATTAACAATGAAATGAACCACTGCCTACTTCCAGCCCAGGCCATGAGCAGCGGGCAGGGCAAGGCCCAGCAAGTGGCCTGGTGAGCAGGTGGGCGGGCGGGCCAGCCCCTCTGAGGTGGTGGGAGGCCGGGCTAGGCACGCTGGTGCACACTGAGGCCATGTGCTCATTTTCCGACCCGAGACCAGGAGGAAAAGGCCATTTAGATCCCAACAATGTTGGCTTCCTGTGTTCCCGAGAGCAGGAAGCCACCCCAGGACAGCGTCCGGCAGCCAGCTGGGGTGGGAGCCGCAGCCAAGGGCTGCGCGTGGGGCGCAGTTCTCCCCCTAGCGGGTACCCAAGGGCCTGTCCCCCAGGGGCTCTGCTCCCTCGCAGGCCACCACTGGCCCTGCCTGTGGACACTGTGGACGTCCATGGCAGGCCTGGGGCTGCTGGTGCCCTCGGAGCTGTGGTCACAGGCACTGCCCTGGGCCTCGCCTTGCAGGGGTGCTGGCTCTGGAGGGTGCCGTGGGGGTCTGGTTGCAAGGCCCTAGTGCTGGAAGGCCCCGGTCAGCCCAAGACGTGTCCAGGGAGGGCCTGGGCACCTGAGGGACAGTGCCAGGGGAGGGTGCTGCCGGTTCCTACCTTGTTCTTCCCGCACCTGCTGCAGGCCCCAGTGAGAAATGGCCCCTGGGGAGGGAGTGTCCTGCAGCCTCGGGCTGAGTGTCCTGTCAGCGTGTGGGACAGACAGTTTCAGGGCTGGAACCCAGGTTTTTCCTTCTTGGTGGGAGGAAGAGGCAGGTGGCAACTGTGAGGGGCAGCGTCTCCGTCTGTTGTGCTTCTGTAACAAAATGCTTTAGACTGGGTTGTTTATAAACAACGGAAGTTCATGGCCCACAGTTCTGGAGGCTGTAGGTCCAGGATCAAGGCACGGGCAGATCCTGTCTGGGGAGGCCTGGTCTGTTTCCAGAGGGGGTGGACATTGAGATTGGAGGGATGGGAGGGCAACAGGCTGCCCAGGGCCCTTCAGGAGGGCAGAACTCTCGTGGCCTGGCCACTTCCTGCAGGCCCCACCTCTTAGTACTGTGACATTGGGCCTAGGATCCAGCTTGTGAATTCAGGAGGGACACAGCAAGGGGTCAGCTGGGGGCCCTCCTGTGCAGGTGTTGTCAATCCAAGGGTTCTTGGGGGAAAGGCAGGAGCAGGAGCGTGAGACCACAGGGTCTGTGGGAGACCTGGCCTCCAGACAGCCCTGGGCAGCTGCTCCGCCTCTTCCACGAAGGGCAGGTCTCGGTGTGTGGCTGGGTGTTTTCCTGGGGACTGAATCCTCTGAGCCACATCCCCACCCCGCCACCACTGAGCTACACCCTAAGTTGCTGAGGGTGGCCTCAAACTAGCAATCCCCCTGCCTCAGCCTCCCCAGTCTCTGGGATGACAGGGGTGTGCCTCTGTGCCTGGCTCCTGAGCTCCGGCCTCTAGATTCGTTCTCCGCAGCTGTGTAGAAAGCGATCCTCAAACTCAGTGGTTTATCGACTGGTTCTGGCTCAGGGTCTCTCAAAAGCTGGGCCAAGGTGCGAGCAGGCTGTGTTCATCTGCAGGCCTGGACGGTCCCCTCCCGGCACGGCACCCTCCCAGGCCTGCCCGGCTGGGGCTGGCTGGTGGCTCGGGGCCTCAGCTCCCTCTCACATGGCTGTCCCACTGGGCTGCCCCTGCGTCCCCTCAACACGGGGACTGCCCTCCCCCAGGTGAGTCATCAGGAGACTGAGGCTGAGGTCAGAGTGGCTTGATGGCCTTGCCTGGGAAGTCACATGCCACACTGCTGCACTGTGTGTCAGTCAGGGTTCCTTCAGGCAGAGTTCCACTCACTCACGGTGGCCAAAACCCGGAGGTGCACCCATGGGAAGGAAGACAGTTTACTGTGGCTCAGCCTCAGTCCACAGTCACTCGGCCCCGTTCTTTGGGCTAATGGGGGCACAGAGCATCCTGGCTCGTGCCATGGTCCCCATATCCTCATCCAGGGCATGCCCACATGGCCCAGTGTCCTCCCACCACCTCCCAACTGTGCCACAGGGTGGGGACCATGCCCCCACTACAGGGATCTCAGGGGGACACTGGATCCAAGCTGCAGCGCTGATGGCAGTGTCAGAGTGGGGGAGGCTGACAGAAGGTGTGAGCTAGGGACAGAACGCTCCGTGACACACTTGGATAGTTCATTGCTCTGAGAGGTGCTTGCCCATGCTTCAGATGACAGCACGAGGGAGACCAGGTAGACAGTAGGAAGCACTGCCCCTCGGGAGAAGACCTGAGAAGGTGATCAAGAATGCAAAAGAGGCACCCCCGGAGGGGGCTCAGAGGGAAGGCCTCCTTGGGGTGGAGGGTAGGTGCTTCTGAAGACGGGGCTTGGTCACTTGGACCGGACGGGAACCTACCACTTGCCACTTGTGTTCAGTTTGCTGAGCTTTTGACTTTTGGGCGGGGAACTAGTGGAGGTCTTTTCTTACCTCCTGCTGTACACAGCAAGGGCAGGCTGGGGCGGAGGAGGGCACTGGGCACACTGTACCAAGATTGCCCAAAGATTTCTCCTCCTGGTTTCCACTTGAGGGCATTTGCTGACCACCTGCCCCTCTGTGCCAGGCAGGCTGCCCTGTACAGTTGTGCAGGCTGGGCACCTCCAAGGGTGTCTGCTGGAGGGAGCCCTGGAATCAGCCCACACTCTGCTTGTCACGCGGTGGGTCCTGGCACAGGGCGGGACCTGCCTGGGGAAAGGGTCCTTCTCTCCATTCCCACAGGGACAGAGCACACTCATCCCCGGCTGTGTGTCACGGGGCTGGCCTGCCCAGATGGTGGGCCTTTGTCTAATTTGCACAAAGATGCTGTCCGGTCCTTCAGACCTGAAGCAGACAGCATCCTGGCTGTTGGGGACGTGATGTGGGGACATGGGCACTGATCTATAAATAAGCTACTGGAAACTACTGGAGATGTTTCAGATGGTGGGCTGTGCAGAGGAGGAAATGATCAGGAGCTGAGAACAGGGGCGACCCACTCGAATTTGGGCGGTTAGGAAAGGTCCTTTTGAGGAGATGGCTTTGAAAGGATTCCAGAGGGCAAGAGAGATTCCACCCAGTAGAGCATCTGGAGCCGCAGGAGCCAAGGGCCTGAGGTAGGAGTGAGCTCACTGATTTATGGGAACTGTCAGAAACACGGAGAGCAGGAAGACCAGGTTCTGAGCCCCCTGTGCCCCTGGTGTCTAGACTGGGGTTGAGAGGTGGACGTGAGAGCTGCCTCTGACCATGAGATGTTGAGGGGGGCTACAGGACAGGAAGAGGCTGAGAGGGAGTGGGTGGCTATCAGCACACACTCCAGGGATCTCCAGTCAGCTCCAACCCAAACATTTACGAAGCCTGTCCTGCGCTGCAGGTTTTCTGTGTGCATGTGTGTGGAGGTGGTGGAGGTGGGGAGAGAGAGGGACAGGGAGGTGTCCCATTCTTGACAGAGCCCACAGCTGGCCAATGGGGAGGTCCCTGGATCTGGAGGCAGCGGCTCAGGGAGGGCCTTGCAGACTCAGGCCTCAAGGCTGAGGCTTTCTCAATTCCGTGTTCCCTGGCCACAAAGAGGGCCCGGGGCTGGGGCTGGGGAGCTGCTGGGGTGGGAGAGGGAACACCTTCCAAAAGGGAGACAGCTGCCACCTGGGGTAACGAGCATGGGGACAGCTGAGAAGCCAGAGCGCTAGACCAGTGGGTGTGCCTTGGGTGGCCAAGGGGAATGTGTCCTGGTGTGGCCAGGGTGATGTCCCTGGCTGTTGGGGGTCAGGAAAGCCTTGCTCACCACCAGCTGAGTCACAGGCCTGAACTGGGCCAGGACTGGGTTGGGAGAAGGTCCTAAGCTAGGGCCAGTGCCAAGGTCACATCCCAGGCTCCACCCAGTTTGCCTGCAGCCTCTCCCACCCTCACGCCCAAAGGATGCCTCAAACAAACCAGAGTCCCCAGGTGGAGAGCCCTGGAGCTTCTTACCCCGCCCTGCCTGGGGCCTTTACCTACCTGAGACCCCCCAGCTGCGTTTTTCTGAGAATCAGGTGGGCTCCAAGCTGAGTGGGGCAAAGCGCCATAGACTGTGTGCTCAGTGGCCAGGGTAGTGTTAGCGTCGCTCTGGGCTGTGTGTGGCTGCTGGCCTTTTGGGTCTGAGGGTCTTCCCCTCTTTCCAGTGCCCCACCCACGTGCTTCAGTGCGTCTGGGGCAGACAAGACCCAAGCCAGCTCGGAAATCAGCCCAGGAGACCCCTCAGCCGGCTCCTGAGAGGAGGGGGTTTGCCAGATTCCTCCACGGAGTCCCAGGGCCTTGGGGGGGAGGTGGGGCTGGGGACATTCCAGGCTTTGGGAACCTGATAGGAAATTTGATTCCAGCTTCTGGTAGTGGGAGGGGTGGGGGCAAGTTGCGAGGGTGTGTGTGTGTGTGTGTGTGTTTGTGTGTGAGTGTGCGCGCGCTCCTGCGCATGGAGCCTGTGCGAGCGTGTTCACGTCTGTATCCCCAAATCTGTGCCAGGCCGGCGGACTCCGAGGGTCTCCACGGGACCGCCTGAGTGTTGGTGCCTGGTCAGAGAGTGGCATGGGTATGTGGGTGAGCCCTGTGGGCCCAGGCAGCGGTGCTGGGTGTGCCGGAGGGTGACCGTCTGCGTGTGCGCACGGGCCCTCCGCCTGGGAGGGTGCAGTGCGAGGCCGGCGGGGTCTGCCCGCCCGCGGGGTGTAAGGCGAGACGGTCCCTTGCTCCGCGGCGGGGCTGGCACGGGGCCTGGGTCCCGGCTCCCTCGGCCCCTGGCCTGGGTCCAGCGGGGGAGCTGGCGCCCAGGCCCGCGATCCTCCGCCTCCCGCGCCCGCCCGAGGCCGGTCGTCCCGGGCGCCCGCCCGCAGGCCCGGAGCGCGGCCGCCGCCCCCTGCGCCCGCCCTCGGCGGGGCTCCCTCCTTCCCTCCTTCCCTCCTTCCCTCCTTCCCTCCGAGCGCCGGCCGGGGCGGGGTGGGAGGAGATTTCGCGGAGTTTCCATTTCATACCTCGCGGCTAAAACTTTCTTTCTGTCTGCCCTCCGCAGTCTGCAGCTTCTCCTGTCATCGGAAATGCCAGGCCAAGGTAAGGGGCGCGCGCCGGACCGCGGGGGCGCCAGCGGGGCGGGGGCGGTGCCCGCGTCCCTCCTCCTCTCTTTGTTTATGCAAAGCGCCGGGGCCCGGGAGCGGGCGCAGGTCAAGGTGATGGCGAAGGCCGGGCGGGCTGCGGGTGGAGGGGCGGGAGGCCGGTGGCGGGCACCGCGCCTGCGGGAGGTGGCTGGCGGGACGGAGTCCGACGGAGGGACCTCGAGGGTGCTTTCCTGGTTCTCCGCGGAGTCGGGGCGAACGAGGGGGCGATGCGCCTCATTTGCTGGCGGGCCTCGGGGAGCCCTAGCTGGCCCAATTTGGCCATCATGGGAAAATTCAGTGTCCAAGCCATAGGACCCGGAGGGAGGGAGAAGCGAGCAAGCGGGGGAGGTGGGGGACGGGGATGGAGGTCTGGATGGCGGCGCCGGCTCTAGGTACCGTCTGAGCCACTGTCCCAGCCCTCCTCACGGTCACGCCCCTCTCCAGCCCTCATTTTCCTCACCAGCGTTTCCTGGCTGGGCCGCTGAAGCTTGGAGACTGGAGCTGTGTCCTGGCTGCCCAGGCTCCTCTCAGGCCTGGACAAAGGAGCCATAGGTCGCTGCTTGGAGTATGGGGCTGTGGGGACACCAGGGTGGGTTGAGAGTTCTGGAAGGAAACTGCTCAGGCTGCACTCTGCCCGTCCGACTGCCTTCCCTTCCCAAGCAGCCAGCTGGGCACCTTCTCCTGTCATGGCTTCTGCCCTCCCTGCCCTTTCCCCCACTTTGCCCTTCACACTTGACCTTTCAGGAAGGCGCTCAGGGAAAGGAAGCCTCCTCCCCAGGGAGGATGCTTCAGAGAGGAGCATATGGGCCATGGAGGCTCCCTATCTGGTGTGTCTTGCTCCCTTCCTATTAGCTGGGTGGCCTTGGGCAACTCATGTACCTCTTGGAGCTGTTTCATCCTCAGGGATGTGGGAATAAGGAGTTTACCTTATGAGGATTAAATGAGGTGAGGTGTGTGAAGTGCCAAGCCTGTGCCTAACACATAGTAGGTGCTCAAAAACATGGTCTTTGATGAGTAGAATTCTGAGCGTCATGGTTTATGCCAATGGGAAAGGGATGCTGATGGGAGGGCAAGATACTGATGGAGTGAGGGATCAGTGAGGGATCTGCCCCCTACCCCGCCCTGGAGATCTTGCCTAAACTGTGTACACTGTTTGCTGAGGGATGTGGTCTCCCCAGTCCCATCTGTAGACTCCAGGATGTGCACCTCCTAGCTGAGGTGCAAAAGGCCTGTGGCTTACTGTAGGCACATCAGTATGGTGAGTTTTCTGCCCCTCGTATTATCTCCTGCTTTTCTGTCCCCTCAGCCTTATCTTCAGGTGGGGAGTTTCTTCTTCTCCCTCCATGCTCCTCCTTGTTCTGTTCTTGGGCAGTTTTCTACCCTTAACCCCAGATTTCTGGTTCCTCTCCAGTCTCTGTTTTCCTACCCCTCTTCCTGCTTTTGCGTCTCTTAATAGCAATGAGCCTTTGTACCACACTTTGTGCAATGCCTTAGAAAGCATTTCATGTGCATTGTGAGATTTTATTCTTTTAATTCCATTAGAGCATAAAACAGAGGCCAAAGATCATATTGTCCAGGGTTGAGTGACTTCCCCGAGTCATTGGACCCCTGTGCTTCCTTCTGATTCCTCCTGCCTGGGGAGACATTTCTCCATCCCCCCTGCCCTTCCTCCTCCCCTTCCATCTCTGGGCAGTAGCGGGATACATGCAGAAGGCTAACGGGATGAACGTACTCGTCACATAGGGCCCAGAAAGGGGAGGATCAGTGACCTAGAGAGATGTGGCAGAAGATGGCCCCTTCTTGGGTGGCAGCCTCGTGTGTGGAGACAGAGGGATGCCAAAGATGACTTCCCCGGGGGGAGGGTGCGGCCTGCCTGGCAATTCTCACATCTGCTGGGGGCTCAGATGCTCCAGGCTGCAGCAATCCGGCTCTGCTCAGCCCCAGAGGCCAACCAAGAGAGGAGGGGGTGGGCCAGGCAGGGCAGTGGCCAGACAGATGGGGCTTTTTATAGGATTTTCCTCTATAGGAAATGGACCCACTGGTGGGGTGTGCTCCACCCAGCTGGCAAGTCTGCCCCTGAAACCACAGCTCTTACCCCTTCCTGGCTTTCCCTTCTGCTGGCGAGGGCAGCGGGGAGCCCCAGAGCACACTGCGGAGGACTGTACTCCGGGTTTTCTAACCAGATGAACTTAGATCCATCCCCTGCTCCAGATGGGATTCATTAAACAACTGTTCCCTAAGCCCTTGCCATGGGCGGGACACTGTTCTGCAGGAGCAAGACAGGTACGATCTTTGCCCTCATGAGACTTACCTTCTAATAGGCAGACACGATAAATTGGCAAACCAGCCGGGTGTGGTTGCGCATGCCTGTGATCCCGGGGACTCAGGAGGCTGAGGCAGGAGGATCACAAGTTCCAGGCCAGCCTGGGCAACTCCGTGAGACCCGCTCTCAAAAAGAAAAAAGGCAAACAATTTAAGGAGGAGTGGGGCTAGAGCAGGGGGTCCAAGAGGACAGGCAAGGTGGCCCAGGAGGACTTCTTGGAGGAAGTGAGGTGGGACACCAGCAATGCCACACCCCTGGGAAGGAGGAGAGCAGCCAGTGCAGAGACCCTGGGTGGGACGAGCACATCGTGCTGGGAAGAAGGTGGTGTGGCTAGGAAGTGGGACACTGTAGAGTTCTGAGCATGACAGCTGCGATCCCGTCTTCACTGTGAGGAGAGCGCTCTGGCCATGGACAGGCGTCCAGGAGGATACAGGATGGGACCCAAGAGGCTGCTAGCACTGCCCACGTGGGTTGGGCGAGTGGCGTGGCCCAGGGACTCACAGGAGAGCAGTGCGTGGGGTCGCGTGTGGGATGCATTCTGCAGAAGAGCCTGGAGCCCTGATGGGTGGGATGCTGGCCGCGGTGACAACTGGCTCAAGCCTGGCTCCCAGGTCTCAGGCAGCGCCTGGGAGCACGTGGTTCCCTTTACTGAGACAGATGAAGTGCGTGAGAAACTCGAGGAAAGGAGGCTCCGGGATTTCTGCTTTGCTTGGTCTTCCCCACACTTCTCCTGCAGCCTGGGGATCTCTTGCCGCTCTTGATCATCTCCAAATCAGCCTATTCTTGGAGTGGCTGGTCTGAGTGTCTTAACAGTCCATCTTCCAGACTTTTCCTGCAGTAGGAACCCATGGCTCTGACGGGGGCTGTGGTATTTATGCACAGCAATATGAAAGTTCGTATCTTGTTTGTTTGGCACTAGGGACTGGAACATGCTAGGCAGGCACTCCACCCCTGGCCTACATCCCCAGCCCTAGATGCAGCAAGATCATGTAACAAATTACCCCAATTTTCACAGCTTAAAGCAGCAGCAGACATTGATGATGCAGTTTTTCTGAGGCTAGGGACTTTGGAAGGGGCTTAGCTGGCCAGGTCTGGCCAGGGGCCTGTCATGGGATGGCAGTTGAGGTGTGGCTGGGGCTCAATCTTCTGATGGCCAGACTGGGGCTGGAGGATCCTCTCCCAAACATGGTCCCCTCTCTAGGCTGCTTGGGTGTCCTTACCACGGTGGCTGGTTTCCCAAGTGTGAGCCTTTCAAGAAAGGGCCAGCCATCATGTCTAGTATCCCGCCTTCCTGGAGGACACATGCTATTGTTTCTACTTTGTCTTCCTGGTGCCCGGGTCAGGCCTGTTGGGTGCAGAAGGAACCTACAGAAGGGTGTTTCTCCCATGAGGTAAGAATCAACAGGGCCATCCTGGGGTCTGGCTACTGCAGGTGCCCAGAGAGAGGGCTCTGCTGGCCGGGCTTCAGGAGGCCGTGGGAGTGGCGTGTTGGGTAGGGACACAGGAGTCAGAAGCCTGAGTTTGCACTCTCTGCCTGCCGCCTTTTAGCTACGTGAGCTGGGTTGTGCTGGATTAAGTGACCATTGACACGTGGCAGGCACCTTTCTCTTCCTGGGCACCACAGGTGAAGACCAGGAAGGAGCCTGGATATTCTGTGCCCAACTCTTTGCCACTTGGACCAGCTTGAAAGAAGATGCTAGTGTCAGGAGAGGAGGGGCCTCTGCTCTTGGCTCACGGTAGATGCCACAAGTGTCTCAACTGTACAAAGGCGGGCTGAGAGAGAGATGCGGCACCCCCAGCTTCTAGACTACTGCCTGGCGCATAGTGAGGGGCTGACTCAGGACAGGAATGATTGAATAAAGAATGTGAAAGATCAGCTCCTGTTTCAGGAGAGGCTGAGGCAGGAGGATCACAAGTTTGAGGCCAGCTTCAGCATCTAATCAAGACTCTCAGCAATTTCAGGAGACCCTGTCTCAAAAGGGAAAGCAAAAAGGACTAGGGGTAGAGCTTGGTGGTGAAGCACCCTTGGGTTCAATTCCTAGTACCCAAAACAATAAAATAAAATAAAGAATTTTACATAGATCGGAACTAAAGCAAGTTCTGGGAACAGCACCCCGGAAACAGTCCTGCTCCCCTCTAAGTCATTATCCCCCAGAGGCAATTGCTGTTCTTACCCCCATAGTCTGAAGTGAGTTTTGCTCGTCCTTGAACTTCATGTAAATTGAGTCATATGCATGTTGGCTTCTGTGTTGGGCTGCTTCAAGGGACATGGTGTCTGGGAGGCTCACCTCTGTTTCTGTGGGAGCCAGTGGCCTCTTCTGGGTTGCCTGTTGCTTGCCATCATGTGACTGCACCACAGTTTATTTCCCACCCATCTGGGCTCTTTCCAGCGCGGAGCTGTTACAAACAAACCTACCTTCAACTTTCAGCCACCTGTGTCCACACGGAATCCATAAGATGGTTATGGACTTTGGAAGGGGCTTAGCTGGCCAGGTCTGGCCAGGGGCCTGTCATGTGTCCACACGGAATCCATAAGATGGTTAATCCGTGGTTCTGGGAGGTGGGTGGGGCTCGGGTAGCTCCGTGTTGCAGGCAGGTCCGACACTGAGGCCCAGCCAGAGTGACCCACTTCACCATGGTGACTTGGGACAGTGGGCTTCTACGTGATTCTGGCTCTGCC